GGGCCCCAAGGCTGCCCACTAGAGGCCTCTCGGCCTTCTCCGCCGCCCCGCCGCCCACTAGAGGCCTCTCGGCCTTCTCCGCCGCCCACTAGAGGCCTCTCGGCCTTCTCCGCCGCCCACTAGAGGTCCTCGGCCTTCTCCGCCGCCCACTAGAAGCCTCTCGGCCTTCTCCGCCGCCCACTAGAGGCCTTTCGGCCCTTGCCGCCGCCCACTAGAGGCCTCTCGGCCTTCTCCGCCGCCCACAAGAGGCCTCTCGGTCTTCTCCGCCGCCCACTAGAGGCATCTTGGCTTTTTCGGCCGCCCACTAGAGGCTTTTCGGCCTTTACAGCAGGAGGAAGAGGAGGAGGGGAAGGAGGAAGGAAAAAAAGAGGAGGAGGAGGAAAAGGAGGAGGGGAGAGGAGGAGGAGGAGGAGGAGGAGAGAGGAGGGGGAAGAGGGAGGAGGAGTATTTTTGGCGCCTTTGGCGAAAGTTACTAGGCCCCCGGTGCTCTCCAGGAACAGCAGGAAATCGTAGCTGTTGAAGGCCGCCACGAAGACCACCAACCGGAGCCGGTCCACCTCCGGCCCCACGGTCGCCGTGAGGCGCCGCAAGACTGGGTAGGGTCTGTCGTGCGTGATCTCCACGTTGTGGCAGTGCATGTCGTCGATCACGGCCGTCAGCGCGAGCCCCCCCTGGGCGCGCGCCTTGAGCACCTGGGATACAATCCCAGCGCCCGTGCCCACCTGGGAGGAGGGAGGAGGAGGAGGGAGGAGGAGGGAGGAGGAAGTGGAGGAGGAGGAGGAGGAGAAGGAGGAGGAGGAGGAGAAGGAGGAGGAGGTGGAGGAGGAGGAGAAGGAGGACGTGGAGGAGGATGAGGAGGAGGAACGGGAGAAGGAGGAGAGGAGGAGGAGGAGGATGAGAGGAGGAGGAAGGACATGAGAGGATGAGGGAGGAGAGAGGAGAGGAGAGGGAATGAGAGAGAGGATGAGAGAGAGAGGAAAGGATGAGAGGAGGAGGAGGAGGAGGAGGAGGAGGAAGAGGAGATGAGAGAAGGAGAGAGGAGGAGGATGAGAGGAGGAGGAGGAGGAGGAGGAGGAGGGAGGGGAGGAGGAGGAGGAGGAGGAGGAGGGAGGAGGAGGAAGGAGGAGGAGGAGGAGGAGGAGGAGGAGAGGAGGAGGAGGAGGGGGGGAGGAGGAGGAGGAGGAGGGAGGAAGGAGAAGGAGGGAAGAGAAGGAAGGAGGAGGAGGGAGGAGGGAGGAGGGAGGAGGGAGGGAGGAGGGGGAGGAGGGAGGAGGGAGAGGGAGAGGGAGGGAGGAGGAGGAGGGAGGAGGAGGGGGAGGGGGAGGAGGAGGACGGGTCGCCGAAGCCCTTCGGAGAAACCCTCCACCACCACCCCGCCAGTGGGGCAGGCGACGGGGGGGGGGAAAACCAGGGCGGCGGCAGCTCGAGGGGGCAAGGTTCCCGGCGCCCGCACGCGGAAAATATCGACTGCGCGGATGCGAGGGGGCAACTCCTGGGGGCTCTTCGCGAGGACGACTGAGTGCCATCAACCCTGGTGAAGGGGCCACTGGGCTGGATTTGGCCCGATTGAGCTCTGGATGGGGCCAGATTTCAGCCCGAATGGGAGTTATGAGGGGGAATGCAGCGGGGCGATGCTGGGCTAGGCCGCCGTTCAGCCACGGATATACCAAGGCCGATTCTGAATTCGACCTCGCCGAAGTTGCTCTCTAATGGATGTCAAGAGAGGGAGGTCAGGTGCCGTTGTGCAACGGGGTGCAGGTGGGCCACACAGGGAGAGAACGATGGAAAAAGAAAGCGAAAGCGAGAAAGAGAGATGGAGGGCAGAACAAGAGAGAGAGAGGAATAGTGGGAATGAGAGAGGAATAATCACCAGCAAATGCTAATAGAGAGGAAGATAGGACGAGAGAAAAATATATAAAAAAGCAACCAACAAGAATACATCCATAACCTGATGATGCTTAATAGTACTATTAGTAGTAGTAGTAGTAGTACTAGTAGTAGTAGTAGTAGTAGTAGTAGTAGTAGTCGTCGTCGTCGTCGTCGTCGTCGTCGCCGTCGTCGTCGTCGTCGTCGTCGTCGTCGTCGTCGTCGTCGTCGTCGTAGTAGTAGTAGTAGTAGTAGTAGTAGTGGTAAGTAGTAGTAGGTACTAGTAGTAGTAGTAGTAGTAGTAGTAGTAGTAGTAGTAGGACTAGTAGCAGTAGTAGTAGTAGTAGTAGTAGTAGTAGTAGTAGTAGTAGTAGTAGTGGTGGTGGTGGTGGTGGTGGTGGTGGTGGTAGTAGTGGTATTAGTAGTAGTAGTAGCAGTAGTAGTAGTAGTAGTAGTAGTCGTAGTAGTCGTAATCGTAGTCGTAGTCGTAGTCGTAGTAGCAGTAGCAGAAGGAGTAGCAGTAGCAGTAGCAGTAGCAGTAGCAGTAGCAGTAGTGGTAGTAGTAGTAATAGTAGTAGTAATAGCAGTAGCAGCAGCAGCAGTAGTAGTAGTAGCAGTAGTGGTAGTAGTAGCA